ATTTCCCCTGACAAGAATAACCCAGGTAAAGGGAGGGGGCACTGCAGAAATAAATTATAAAAGCCGACATTCAGGTGGGAGAACTCCTATACCCTTTAATCCTCCCCTCCTGCGACCTGCACTCCCCTTCCTACATTCTACAAACCCCAACCAAATTTATTTATATAGCGGGCAGCGGCGTAAAAAATTTCATATGATCGCTTTTAAATATAATTATATCATTTTATGTTTGTAATTTTTATATCAAATCGTATTTAGGACATACAAAAGATAATTTTTAAAGTTATAAGCTTAAATAAACATTTCTCTGAATGTCGGTTTTAAGTTTTTATTGAGTTGATTTAAACACATAACCATGGTTATTGGTTATAACCACAAAGGATGACATTTTTTAATTACCATGATGTTTCCCTTTTACTTTTAGCTACAGACTACAGAGCGTCCCATATCATATTAGATTATCTCTAATCTTTAACGACAAAATAAGCCCTTAATACTCGAAAAACTTATCATTTTCCGCAAGAAAATTCTTATATAAGCCTTATGTTATTTTTCAAATTCATTCACACTAATTAAATTTTCTTATTATAGTTCCGAAAATCGCAATTTTAGACCCGTTGACGGTCTAATATGATGTGGGACACCCTGTATTTGCTCTCTTTTCTACAAAAACTTGGTTTATTTAATTCCTTTAGAACATCAGAATCTAATTGTTTAAGGTGTCATTGAAGTCTCAGCATTCGATGTCTCGAAGCATTCGGATAAGTAAGTAATCCAGTACAATTTTTCCATACAGCAATATTACACGAACAATAACATAAAAATATCACCTACTTCATAATAAATTTGTATTCAGTTGAAAAAAAACCTTATCACCCCCAACAAATTTTTTAAGGATAATTGAAAAACTTTTTTTGTGTCAGGGGCATGCCGCTAGGGTTTTGCAGCGAACGAACCGCTTCGCAATAAAATGCAACAAAATTTTGGTCGTATTTCGCGAAATTTTGCATTTTTTTCGCGAAAATAAATATTGAGCGAACATGCAAAATAAGAAAATTTCGCAAAAATGCGAAAATATTTTCGAAAAATGCATGAATGCAAAAAAAATTTTCAAACCCATGAGTTTTATGGCTACAACTATTAATTGCTTAAAAGAAGTAGTGGAATTCTCTGCTCTGATAGCTCAATATTTGAAGTATTATTATGTCATATAAATAATTTCTCTTCCTTTACTTTAATAAATGTTTGATGAAAAGAATTTAATTTTTAAGTTTCTGTCTGTCCGTCCACAATACATAGATTAAACCGCAAAATTTTCGCATCATTTTTATAGCGAAATTTTCGCATTTTTTCCGAAATTTTTGTTTTTTTTCGCAAAAGTTTCGCATTTTTTATGCGAAATAGATTGAAACGAAATTTCGTGAAAATGAAGTAAAATGGTAGCGAAAAAAAAATTTCGCGAAACAAATTTTGCTTTTCGCTGGAAACCGTAGTTGCTGCGGTAAAGAAAGGTGTGCATTAATTGTGCTGTGCAGCATTTTTCACTGAAAACAGATAAAAACATTAAAAATAGAATTTATAATAAAATTCCAAAATAACATAAACGAAAAGTCTTGTACAATATCATCTAAATTTCACAGCCAGCTCGTGTTCCGAATATTTTCTTTACTTGCGGTAATATCTTCTTGTTTATAAAACTATTCTGAGCAGCAACCTAAACAATATACAGCTGGTTTGTTTTCTTTACTTGCAGTAATATCTTCTTGTTTATAAAACTATTCTGGGCAGCAACCTAAACAATATACAAGTTGGTTTGTTTTCTTTACTTGCGGTAATATCTTCTTGTTTATAAAACTATTCTGGGCAGCAACCTAAACAATTATAAATGGAACTATATGGACCGCTGTTAAGGACTTCTTTCCCCCCCCCTAAAGGGGGTGCAAGCCTTTTTAAGGGTGGCATGCCCCCCTTAATCAGGCTAGGGGGGGCTTTAGCCCCTCCACCCCTCTATTGAGCGCCTGTCCTCAATTATATTATAAAGTCTTAAATCTAAAAATAAATATAATCAATCCTTTGGAACTGAGTTTTTGCTAAAAATTCAAATTTTCTAATCCCTTTATCTTTGCACCCTGATATTGTAAACCTTGAAATTTCAAATTATGACTTTTTCATCTAACAGATTTCATAGTTTGAAATATCAAAGATCTACGACATCGGGTTGCAAAGATAAAGGGGTTACAAAATTAGAGTTTACATGGCTAAAACTCATTTTATCATGATTGTAAAATAACTATTTATAACACTGTTTTTATCTCTTTTTTGAAATTAAACAAAAAATACAACAAAAACTTAAAATTTAAGTCTAAAAACATTATAAAATGTTGTGCCAAAATGATAGTATTATTTTTCATTACATAAAATGTTTCTGCACTTGTAAAACAATTTAAGAGATATCCTAAAAAACGGTTTTAGCTGCTCTAAATGTTTTTGAGAAAGTTAGAATGATATTAAGTCAAGAATATAATTTTATTAATTAAAATTCTTTAATTTAGAAAATATTAACAATCCCTTTAAAATCTAGATTAGAAAGTTTTATCTAAATCTTACCTTTTTATTGTCAATATTAGAATGTAGAATTTTCATGGTTTTTATACCAGGTCTAAAAAAAAATTCAGGTTTAAAAGATATATATATATTCATTTATCTAAACTTAGGCCGAATTTAAAGAATTTGAGCCACGACTTGAATTTGAGCCGCGGCTCTAATATGGTTGGTTCCACTTCAAATTGTATTCAATGTTTCAAGATTCAAGCCGGCGCTCAATATTTGGCGAATTTAAGACGCGGCTGAAATTCATTAAATTCGGACTCTGGACTCTTAGACGTTTTCAAATGACATTTTCATTAAATATGGAGCACGCCTGAATCACAACGGTAAACTTTAAACCTTTAACTGATCTAAAAAAATCCTTGTCATTATAATTTTAATTGTGATTTATTTCAAAGTAAGTTGCGGATTTTGTGCAGCAAAGCCAAAGAACGTAATTAACAGAGTTCAACACTTCAAATGGAAAACCGAAGGTATCTTCCATATTTTTAAAAGAAGACGGTTCAAAGGGTACAGTTGGGAGTCGGACATGCCTCTCTTTAGATTAATTTCACTGACAGTCCCCTTCACTAATTTCAAATATTTCATATTTCATTTACTTCTTCAGATCGATAAAAGATCAATTAATTAATAAATCGAATAATCAATCAACTAATTGATTCAATAAATCTATAAAATCAAGTGATAAAATAATCTGTTAATCAATCAATCAATCAATAACTTCAGGTTTACCTGTGAATGAGGAAAGCGTTATCAAGAATATGAAATTCATAATCTAGCACACACATCTTGTATCCCTGTAATTATATTTACTGTAAGCGTAATTTCAAGTGACCCTCCATGCAAAGATGGCAATTTACAACGGTACCTTTAAAAGCCTTTTCTGAATTGACGAATTGATAAATTAGATTTCATGTTTTGTTCCTCACTGCACACTAAGCAGTATTGTGTCAATTACTTCTTTTAAGCTTAAACTAGGAAAAAGCGCATTTCTATTAAAATATAGATGCCTAGGGCTACAAAAAAAATGAAGTGAGTTGGTGACGTAGAACCGGAGGCCAAGGCGTTGTAACACTTTAAAGTCTTGGCTGTCTAAAAGATTTGATGACTATCTTTCAGAGTTGTATATTTCAGCGTTCTTTAAACTGTTTATTTTGATTTGCGGTTTCTCTGCGAAAGTGACTTGCTCATTAATTGTGTAAAAGAAACTCGCAAAAGTAAAGGCTATCCGAGTCAGAAAAATGACGGTTTTGTCGCATTTTTGATCAGATTAAAATTTCAAGGGTACCGTTGTAAATCGGGCATTGTCATCTTTGAGTGGACTGTCACTTAAAATTACATTTACAGCCCCTGTAAGTATATTTACAGCCGGCCCAGCTGTAAGTATATTTACAGCCCTTGTAAGTATATTTACAGCCCCTGTAAGTATATTTACAGCCCCTGTAAGTATATTTACTCTGTTCTGTAATAAGTTAAAAAATCAATCCTTTATTAATTAAAGTTCAGACTTTTGAGTCGGATACTCCTGGAACCGATACCTTGATCTCGATATCGACAGTGGGCACTTCTAATTTGATGATCAATGCTGAATCTCATCATTTCAATTATCTCTTCAGAGTACGATAACCATGCGGGATACTGAATACAGATTATAATAATCTGAAGATTAAAGAAAGATCGAGATCAAGCATTGCTCTCGATATCCAAAAGTAAAAAAATGTGTTGTTTATCCTCACCTGAACCATTTTTTCTCTTCGACCCTCCCAGCTCAGCCTCTCATCATAAACTGGTTCCTAGAATTATATTTACCGGGTTCAAGCATCAAGATTAATCTGTTTGTGTATTAAAGAATTGTAAAAACAAACAATCAATTTCTCAGAGGAATTGGTATTTAAAGGAATTAATTTGGGTTTAAAAAAGGTTTTTGCTAAATTTGAGGAAAAAAGAAGTATCAGGCATTTTCCCCCATTTTCTACCTTATCATTTAATTCTTCTAAACATATAATCCAGAACTTGGCACTTTTATATTGCATACAAATAATCCGCTTGATCTTGATATCCACTCTGGATAATTTTTAATTTTAGGATTAATAAAAAACTATAACTTTCCATTCGACCCTTGTTTGGGAACGATTACAATGCGTGATATTGAAGAAAGATTATAGTTTAATCTGCAGATTAAAAAAAAAGATCTAGGCAAAACATTGATCTTGATATTCACAATACAAGAGTTCACAGTTCTGGAAAATATAAAAAAAGATCTTACACTGTTAGTTCCAATATATATTGGTTCCCATCGCTGGTATGGTTTTACACGTTTCCCAACATGGAGTACACTCATTCCTGGTTTTACAGGGGCCTCTGTCCAGTTCTAGAACATTTTGTTTTTTAGAAGCAATCCTGGGCTTTACAGGGGCCTCTGTCCAGTTCTAGAACATTTTATTTTTTAGAAGCAATCCCAAGCTTTACAGGGGCATTCCCCGAATGCTAAGTGACGTCAACGCTGTAACACTAGCGTTAAATGATATCATTTTAACATCATTCATCATATTTCATTTCTTAGAAGCAATCCCGCAGACTGTACAGTGTATACTGTACAGTGGAATCTGTACAGTTCTTAAACCTTATTAAATTCTCATTTTTTTTCTTAGCAGGAATCCTGTACACTGTACACTGTACAGTGTAATCTGTACAGTTCTTAAACATTATTATTCTCATTTAATTTCTTAAAACAATCCTGTACACTGTACACTGTACAGTGGAATCTGTACAGTTCTTAAACATTATTATTCTCATTTCATTTCTTAGAAGCAACCCTCTACACTGTACACTGTACAGTGTAATCTGTACAGTTCTTAAACCATATTATTCTCATTTAATTTCTTAGAAGCAATCCTGTAAACTGTACACTTTACAATGTAATCTGTACAGTTCTTAAACCATATTATTATCATTTAAAATGACGGCTATTAACATAAACCATAACAAACATTATAAGAGGCATAAAATGGTGGCCATTACCTGGGCAAATGGAATATTATGGCAGGCAGAACAGACATGTTTATGGAAGGGTATAACCAATCCAGATTTTATCATATTAACCAGTTCAACCTAATAGATAAATAAATATACTTAGGTTGTAAGTTTTGTATAGTTAATTCATTCAGAATGCAAGAATCCTATCTTTTGCACTCCAAGACTATGAAGGATTTGCTGTTTGAAAAAAACCATAAAAAAATTCTGCTCACGCACCTCTGCCCCTTTAGTAAAAGTAAATTCAACCAATATGAAGCATAAAGTCTGACATAGCCAACCTTGTTGCACCGGCTTGTCCTGTCCACAGAGCTAGGTACAGTGCAAACTTGGACTGGAAAGTTTGACCCGGCTCGGAAATTCAAATGTACTACGGCTGCCCGTGTGCTAAAACTAAAGGCCGGCTTTGTAGTGTAGTGTATTCCAGAATAAGTTTGTTTACAGTAAATAAATTCTCATATGGCCCATCCTTGAATACTAGCATCAAACTTTTAATTTAATCTAATTTTTTCTCTGTTTCTTTGCAGTTTAATTTTAAAAGCTTTAAAAAGGAATTGATTCTTGCTTCAATCTCTGACATTCTAATATTTATATCTTTGCAATCCAAAGATATTTTAAACAATAAAATAATGTTAGTTTAAAATATCAAAGATAAGGTTGCAAAGATATAGATATTTTAAAATTTGATTTGTTGGCAAAGAAGGATTGAAAAATTATGGTTTGTGGCGAGTAATCAGTTTATTTCTACATTTAACTGTAAACTAGATAGAAGGAGAAAGTCAAATGTATGCAACATTACTGGTACTAAGGAGATGAGTTTTTGCCCAATTTAATCCCTATATCTTTGCAACCCAATGTCGTAGACATAATTGATATTTCAAGCTATGAAATCTGTTAGATCAAAAGATCTAAGTTTGAAAGATCAAAGGTTTACACCATCAGATTGCAAAGATGTGGAAATTATAAAAGTTTAGTATGTGACTCACTTCCTTTGTGACCTTGTAGCTCTTCTATTTTTAATTTTATGCACAAGTACGACAAAACAAAATTTTCCGGTTACATATAAGAAATTCAAATTTTTTGTGTCCTTCTCAATAGCTTTTATACAAAAGGATTTATGATTAAAAATTATTATGATCTGTACCCAATAATTTTCAAAAAAAAAATTTAAAAATGTTTTTAAAAATATTAAAAACAGGGGAAAATCAAACTAACATGAAATTTACTTTAATCTCATGTGATACATTTAATTTTTAACCTTTTCTCTGGGAAGGTGTTCAGCTGAAATATCGATTTCAAAAATGGAGTTTACATAAACACGTGGTTTGAGGGGGGAGCCAGGCCCTACATTCGCCTTCACCTATACATTACATACTCAATTATTCATTCATTTAATTTTGCATTCATTCATTTAATTATTTATTCATTCAAGCATTTACTTAATTATGAAGTTATTTTTTATACAGTGGTAGGCGATTATAGCTTGAATATTGAATACACATAAACATAGAAGTCAAGAGAAGCTATCAATTAAAATGTTTTTCTTTGATCACTTGTAAACTTGTAATTAGAAAAAAGCTTGTTAACAATCAAAAACTTAGATAAGGGCATCCCCTTCAGTCCTCATACGGACCCAGAGCTAAGATGTAACCAATGTGAGCTCGATAGCTTGGAATAGGGATAGTTCTATTCAGCCCTCATACGGAAACGGAGCTAAGCTCAGATAGGAAGTAATTCGGCCTATAAACAATTGACAGCATATTAGCTCTTTTGTATATAGCTATAGGTCGAACAGAAAGTGGGACGGATAACTAGTCATCTCATCTATATAATGAAGGAAGATTCGGCCGTTTAAAAATGCCAAGCTAGAGAATGCTTTGAATGCATGCTTGGGTGCGTGGAGAACCAAAGCTGCTGCTGAACTGTGAATTCTATTTTCTAAGTTTGAATTCAAGCCAATAGTCATGAGACACGGCTTGAAATGAGGCAGAAGAAAATAGAATTGGCCTGGGCTAAAACCGAAACAAAAAGTTAGTGTTCATGCGGAATCCGAAGACGGAAGATTAACTCGTCATACGTGGCAAATAAAAGGCGGAGAGGCTGTCAGAGAACTCCGGCTTTCCAGGATTCATTAGTATAATTTTTATTTGTTCATTTTTTACATGTAAATACATTTTTTCCTATAATCTGTAGATTTACTTACATCAGTTTTTAGACTTAGATTTCCTTTATATTTCATACCCTCTAATTATATGGGAACAGTATAAACCTACCATATCTAAGAATGATGGTATAGTACCAGAACTATTGTTTAAACCTACCATATCTAAGAATGATGGTATAGTACCAGAACTAGGGTATAAACCTACCATCTCTAAGAAGGATGGTATAGTACCAGAACTAGGGTATAAACCAAACCTACCATCTCTTTAAGAATGATAGTATAGAACCAGGACTAGGGTATAAACATAACATATCTAAGAATGATGGTATAGTACCAGAACTAGGGTTTAAACCTACCATCTCTATAAATATAAACCTACCCTCTCTATGAATGCTGGTATAGTACCAGAATTAGGGTATAAACCTATCATATCTAAGAATTATGGTATTGTACCAGAACTAGGGTATAAACCTACCATCTCTAAGAATTGTCTTGAAGTACCAGTACTATTGTGTGAACCTACTATCTCTAAGAATTATGGTATAGTAACAGAACTAGTGTATAAACCTACCATATCTAAGAATGATGGTATAGTATACCAGGACTAGTGTATAAACCTTCCATATCTAAGAATGATGGTATAGTACCAGAACTAGGGTATAAACCTACCACCTCTCAGAATGATGGTATAGTACCAGGACTAGTGTATAAACCTACCATATCTAAGAATGATGGTATAGTACCAGAACTAGTGTATAAACCTACCATATCCAAGAATGCTGGTATTGTACCAGAACTAGTGTAATAACCTACCATATCTAAGAATGATGGTCTAGTACCAGAACTATTGTTTAAACCTACCATATCTAAGAATGATGGTATAGTACCAGAACTAGGGTATAAACCTACCATCTCTAAGAAGGATGGTATAGTACCAGGACTAGGGTAGAGTTCTATATCCGAAGGAAACACAAAATGAGTCTGAGCGGTTTCTCGTGCAACATTTCTAAAATGATCTAAAGGAATTGTTAAGTTATAATGAAAGGCCCCCAGAAACCTTAACATTTTAGGAGTTGATCACGACCAAATAACAGTTCTATCTGATGTCCCTGTCGTGAGAAACTGTGTCTGACTCAGTCTGAGTTATACAAAAATGCATATATACATGATATGGCCGATGGAGCAGAAACTGAATGGCCATTTGTGGAAATATTGTTCAAATTTATATTAGTTTTGGTATAACTTTCACACAGTTTATCAATATTTTGAGACAGGGACATCAGATAGAACTAATATTGGTAGCGATCAACTCCTTAAATGTTTAGGCTTCAGCCTATATCCCTTTTCATAGAAGCGAAAACTTTTAGTTGAGACTACGATTTACCATATCAATTACAGCGAAAACATTTGACTTGAAGGGTTAAAGTTTTGTTTTGGGGATAGTCGGGTCAAAAGTAACCTGAGCTGAAAACTATAAATTGGTGGATATCGAGATTAATGCTTGATCCTCTCTTTNTGGATATTGATTAAAGGGATAATTTCAGGGCTGTGGACTGGATATTGATTAAAGGGATAATTTCAGGGCTGTGGACTGGATATTGATTAAAGGGATAATTTCAGGGCTATGGACTGGATATTGATTAAAGGGATAATTTCAGGGCTGTGTCGACTGGATATTGATTAAAGGGATAATATCAGGGCTGTGGACTGGATATTGATTAAAGGGATAATATCAGGGCTGTGGACTGGATATTGATTAAAGGGATAATTTCAGGGCTGTGGACTGGATATTGATTAAAGGGATAATTTCAGGGCTGTGTGGACTGGATATTGATTAAAGGGATAATTTCAAGTAATTTCAAGTGTCCTTTAATGCTCGATTCACAACGGTACTAGGGTTTCCACGAAACAGTTGATTCTCTTGCGCAACAATTTCGTGGTTGTGCACAAAATTTCACATAATTTTCGTATCAATACGAAACCAGTTTTGCACGAAATTCATTCGAAATAAACAATTGTTTTGCACGAAATTTCCCGTGAATACGAAATTTAAGTAAGAATTTTTTCATGATATTGCGCATGAATTTTTGCATGTAATTGTGCAATGCCCATGAATACGAAAGATTGGAATTTTCGTGCTGTAGTATTGAGCATGAATACAAAATTAAGTAATATTGTTGCACGCCAAAAAAATTATCCATATTTATTGAGGTATAGTGCATAATTATGAAGGATGTTAATATTTGAACAGTATGGTGTGAATTAGTTTCAGTAAAAAACAACTTACATAGCAGTATTTTATTAATCAACAATATGTAGTTACAAATTATTATTGTATTCATAGTTTAGACACTGTTAAAATGTTGGTTACTTTCTCTAATAAAATTTGCTATGATAAATATGTGTTGAAAATACGAAATAACAAAATGGCTCGAAATAACGAAACAGCAGGAAAAAACGAAATACTCAAATACCAAGATTTTCTTCAGAATTTGTGCGAAATATCTTTTCCGCAACAAGCGCAAAAACATCGAAATTTCGTGCAATTTTTACTCGAAACGTAAGAAAACCCTTGCGCAAATTTTGCACGAAAATTTAGACTGGAAACCCTAAACGATACCCTTGAACCTTTTATCTGATCAATAATATGGAAGATATTGTCGTTTTTCTATACTTGAAAGTGTTTAATTTCTGATAGCTCTTATATCTTTTCTGAACCTTATTAGTTTTTAATACTTTTAAACATAAATGTCTAATCTATACTTGATCAGACAAAGGTTTTAAGGGTACTGTTGTGAATCAGACATTGTCATCTTTGCATTGAAGGACTTGAAGTTACCCTTACACTCCTTTTAAAGTGGGTTTAAAGACCTTACCATATTCTGAAGCTGGTCTTGAGAAGGAACTGATTGAGGAGTGTGTTCCCAATCAAAGAATAGATGAAATGTTGTATAATCTCTCACGAGTTCGCTTGCAAGACAATTCCTAAATATATTTCTTGGCATTTTTACGGGGTTGACATTTTGATTTAATTTCTCTTTTTCTAACTATTAGTACCTTGTATAGGTACCTTGTATTAGTACCTTGTATAGGTAAAATTAGTAGAACTAGATTTAAAAAAGATGCCTTGAAAATAATTATAGGCTGAGTACTGAAATAAAATTGCTTCAAGAAACATAACTTTGAATTTATTACTAGAAAATTATTTTAAAAAACAAAATTGAAACAAGAAAACAAAATGGCGCCTGGGAAACCAAATGATGTCTAGAAAAGAAGGCGGTTAGAATAAGAAAATGGCGATTAGAAAAATAAAATGGCGACTAGAGAAAGAAAAGCAACTGAAAAAAACAAAATGGTGTCTTTAAAAACAAAATATCGACAGAGAAAACAATAATGGTGACTAGAAACCAAAATAGCGACTAGAAAACAAAATGGCAACTAGAAAACAAAATGACGACTAGAAAACAAAATGGCAACTAGAAAACATAAATGGCAACTAGAAAACAAAATGGCAACTAGAAAACAAAATGGTGACCTGAAATACAGAATTGCCTGGACAGAGTTTATAAAGTCTTCTCCAGGGGCGTAAACAGCTAGAGATACTGGTCCCATCCATCTAGATACAGTGACTCATAAAAGTGTAGATTAGGAAGACTGCGTCTTCCTTTTCCACATTTTTCTGAGTCCCACTGAACTCTACATATCTGTTAGAATTGTGTCAAAATCAGTGTCTTAGGAGTTAGGAAGAAATGTTTATTTATTGAACCCCGGAGACAATAAAATTTCGAAAAAGAAGTTGTGCCTTAAAAAATTAAAGATTTCAAACTAAAAACTTTAAATTATATCATTTATATTACCTTTCAATGATTGGTTCCAAATTGTCCAAAAATGTATAGTCTGCATGTGTAGTGTAAGTTATAGATTCATCACATCTGTTAGATAGCACTTTAGTAATATCATTTTGTACTGGGTTAACCGCTAAAATGAGTCCTTTAAAACAACCTGAAACCTTTTAATACTGCCAGCTAAAGGTTTAGTTTGATCTTATATTTTAAAAATATTCTTAATAATAAAACAGAAATAAAACATGTGCAGTCGTCTGTAAAATTTTTTCATTTAATTGAATATTAAACTTAAATCATGTATCTACTGGAAAGGGAAGGCACCTTTATCTCGTCCGACCACAAATGACGTCAAAATTCACCATTATTTCGTCCGACCAAACCTTTTTTCTGTTTTTAATGGTTTAAAATATTATATCCTGTTTTTTTTAAGAGGAACATCTTATAAAGATACAGTTTGCATAAAACCGTATGGAGTTTATTTCAGAATACCTTATTAGGCAAATCAAAACTATTTAGTATGTTTCCTGCTAAACAAATTTTAGTTTTTAGTGTAGATGTAAAAAACCCAGCGATTTTCACCTAAATGTTTCAGTTTAGAAGTAAAAGAAAAAGAAAACAACAGAAAAATGTGTGTGGTCCGGGGTAAAAAAGGTGAGGCACATATATTTTCCGTTTTGTGCTAAATTGGGCTTAAGTATCGTTTTGTTTACAAACAAAATACATTTCAAACAAAATCAATGCATAATAAATAACATGACGTAGCCTAATTTTGAAAAAAAAAGTGTTAAAAGGCATAAAATATACATTTGAATATACAAAAGCAACGTCGGGAATGTAAAAAAACGAAATAATGGTGAATTGTGACGTCATTTGTGATGCGGACGAAAAATGGTGTGGTTCAAGTGTGGTGTGCCTTCCCCTGCTCATGTACTTATAAAAGTAAACTATTTTCCTGAATGATTTATCAGCAATGATATAATTGTACAACACCCAGTAATTTCCTCTCAAACCTTGCCTGTACAATGTTGAGTGTTTAGTGTACAGTGACAATCTTCAATGTACAGTGTTAAGTGTACAGCGTTCATTGTACAGTGTACAGCGTTCCGTGTACAGTGTACAGCGTTCCGTGTACAGTGTACACTGTAAAGCGTGCAGTGTACAGTGTACACTGTACAGCGTGTAGTGTATAGTGTACACTGTACAGCGTGCAGTGTACAGTGTACAGCGTGAAGTGTACAGTGTACACTGTACAGTGTACTTTTCGGGTTAAACAAAAAACGCTAAATTTTATTTTCCTTTTCAAAATTAATGAGAACATTCCAGGTTTTTTTGTGTTCATTTTTCTCCCCTTTCTCCCTTTCCCTTTCTCCCCTTTCTCCCCATTCACTCCTTTTCCCTCTTTCTCCCCTTTCTNCCCATTCTCCCCTTTCTCCCAATTTCTACCCATTCTCCCCTTTCCCCTTACTCCCCGTTATCCCCTTTTTTATCTTTCTCCCCTTTTTCCCTATTCACTCATTTCTCCCCTTTTTCCCCCTTTCCTCGCCTTTCTCCCCATTAACTCATTACTCCCCTTTATCCCCTTTCTCCCCTTTCTCACCTTTCTCCCCTTTCTCCCCTTTTTCCTCTTTTTCCCCTTTTTCCCCCTTTCTTCCCTGACTTCCTTTTCTCCACTTCCCCTTTCTCCCCTTACTCCCCTTTATCCCTTTTCTCCTCTTTCTCCCCTTTCTCCCCATTCACTCCTTTCGCCCCTTTTTCCCCCTTTCCTCGCCTTTCTCCCCATTCACTCATTTTTCCCCTTTTTCCCTTTTATCCCCTTTCTCCTCTTTCGCCCCTTTCTCCCCTTTCTTCCCTTTCGCTCATTTCCCTCCTTTTTCCCCTTTCTTCTCCATTCACTCCTGTCACCTCTTTCTCTCATTTCCCTCATTTTTCTCCTTTCTTCCCCAATTTCCCCCTGTCACCTCTGCACCTGAAAATTAAATCCTTGTCTTGACAGAATACTCCAGGAGATATCTCTCTCCTTCCAACCTTCTTTAATTCTCCTTCGTCCTCCTCCTTCCGTTCTTCCTGCTTTCCATTGTCCTCCATCCACTCTTCCTCCTTCATCTCGTCCTCCTTCAACTCGTCCTCTCGATACGCGTCCTCATGATGACCAGTAAAGGAAGAAAGCGGGAAAAGGCTGTTAAATTCAAATCCATCTATAATAGTTGGAAAAATATCTATAATTAATAATATTAAATAGAAATATTAGTGTTATTATAATGGAACTTGCATTGTCACAATGTGTTGCAATAATAAATCTTTGTTTTGGAATGTGGAAAAATGTCGGCCACTTTATAATTTTATAAATTTATAAGTTTCCGTTTGTTTTGCTGTTCTGATAAAGTATTTGAGAAGAAGATTTTAAAAACGTTATGTTTGTAAAAAATCCATTGAAAATTAAGCAAATTTTAAGCACAACACTTTTTTTTGTAAGATACTTGATGTTTTCTATATTATTTTGATACCCATATCAACACGTTTTGTATGGGCGAGAAGCGCCCTATAATTGCCTAGTTTTGAAATTATTCTAAATTATGTTAATTAAAACCTAGAGTTTCCAGCGAAAAAGGAAATCGTTTTGCGAAAAAAAATATAATTAATAATATTAAATAGAAATATTAGTGTTATTATAATGGAACTTGCATTGTCACAATGTGTTGCAATTACCAATCTTTGTTTTGGAATGTGGAAAAATGTCGGCCACTTTATAATTTTATAAATTTATAAGTTTCTGTTTGTTTTGCTGTTTTAATAAAGTATTTGAGAAGAAGATTTTAAAAACGTTAAGTTTGTAAAAAATCCATTGAAAATTAAGCAAATTATAAGCACAACACTTTTTTTTTGTAAAATACTTAATGATTTATAAATTATTTTGATTCCCATATTAACACGTTTTGTATGGGCGAGAAGCGCCCTAATTGCCTAGTTTTGAAATTATTCTAAATTATTTTGATTTAAACTTAGAGTTTCCAGCGAAAAAGGAAAATCGTTTTGCGAAAAAAAAGTTTTTCGCGAAAATATTTGCATTTTTTGCATTTCGTTCGCTCGCAGAAAATGCAAAATTTTTTGCAAACAAATTTGCGAAATAAACGAAAAAAAATTTCGTATTTTTTCGCGAAACTTTCGTTGGCTGAAACCCTTTAAACCCAGAGAGAAACATCGAATAAAAATATTTCTACCTGATTCTAAAATATTTCTACCTGATTCTAAAATATTTCTACCTGATTCTAAAATATTTCTACCTGATTCTAAAATGAAAAAGAAATGGTGTTGGTCGATTTTTATCTACAGGGTGTCAAACATGACAGTTGGTGAATAGTTTAAAATGTCTTCTTCCATAATTTGATAAGTTGTTTGATACTAAAGAGACTGATAACATTTTTTATATGATAGTTGTACTAAAGTAAAATTGATTTTACAGTAAAATATATTTGAGTTAAACTTTTTTTTAAAGAAATAAAGTGCAAAAAGTCCTTAATATCTAATACAGTATGGGGAAGAAGACATTCAAAACTATTCACCAACTGTCATCTGCATTTATTCCTCTTTATTCGCTGTTATCTGCCTTTATGTGCCTTTATCTGCTGTTATCTACTGTTATCTGCCGTTATCTGTCTTTATCTGTCTTTATCTACGGTTATCTGCCTTTATCTACCGTTATCTGCCTTTATCTGCCTTTATCGGCCTTTATCTACCGTTATCTGCTTTTATCTACCGTTATCTGCCTTTATCAGCCTTTATCTGCCTTTATCTGCTTTTATCTACTGTTATCTGCCTTTATCTGCCTTTATCAGCCTTTATCTGCTTTTATTTGTCTTTATCTACCGTTATCTGCCTTTATCTACCTTTATCTGCCTTTATCAGCCTTTATCTGCTTTTATTTGTCTTTATCTACCTTTATGTACCTTTATCTACCTTTATCTGCCTTTATCAGCCTTTATCTGCTTTTATTTGCCTTTATCTACCTTTATCTACCTTTATCTACCTTTATTTGCCTTTATCTACCTTTATCTACCTTTATCTACCTTTATTTGCCTTTATCTACCGTTATCTGTCTTTATCTGCCTTCATCTGCCTTATTATAAGGAAAGTATATCATGCAGAAATTGGAAATGTTTTTATGTAATAAATAAAATGTTTGTCAAATAAAAATTAATGGGCATTCCTTCAGAACTGTTTTCCAATGTTTTCCTATAACAGTCATTATCTGAAAATAAAAGTTAAAAAGTTTCCCGTCCACTAGAAGTGTTTGTCATACCGCTCTTAACTTTTAAACGTTTAACAAAAACTATTATAGAGGATTTTTTGTGCAATGAAAGTTTGCTTTTATTAAACTTGACAATTTCTTTATTCCTTATTCTAAACACCAAAATTGAAGAGGAAAAAAGAACCGTTAAAAACGTTCGTTTTTGCACCGTTTTGGGATCGTTTTTTGGTATTTTTTGTTGTTGCATATATCTTCTGTCAAGGTTAAATTCTGAAATTTCATCTCTTTTTATGAAATATCACACTCACAACCATAAATTTTCACATCTTAAGAACTTATTTTGTATTTAAAACTTATCTATGAAAAATGGTCTACCTGTATAATGATCTACCTATATAATGGTCTACCTATATAATGGTCTACTTATATAATGGTCTACCTATATAATGGTCTAC